GTCTTTGACGGGTCGGACAAGCACGCTATCTGCGGACATAACGCCCGCGTACGTCCTATTCCTATTTGATCCGCTTCCATTGTCTGACAACGATCACTTATTCCCATCCCCACTTGCGGGTCGTATCCGAAGTAGGCGACCTTGACGCGGCGCAGATATGGGCCTTCGTCCAATCGCAGTACGACTCCCTCCCGCCTTCTCCTCCATCACACGCCACACCAGACGACCTGGATCCGCTCTCAGCGCTCACCACGTCTGGATAATCCACCGCACTCCCGCATCCCCACTCCGCGCCCGCTGCAATATCCACCGTGAACGACATCTCCTGTCCAATAACATACCCCTCGCGCCGCACGATGACAAATGAAGTGTCGGCTACATCCGGTCCCTCGTCTTCGAATTCGGCATCGGTAGCGGCGCTGGCGAGCACGTCCTCCTCGCCCCAACGCTCCTCGACGCCCCTCACGTTGCTCGCAATCTCGCCCTCGCCCTCCTCAGCCTTCGGCTCTCTTTCCCACTCTGTGAACCGTTCGCGCGGATCAGGACACGGGCAAGGACAGATGCCTTTCCCGCTGACGCGCCGCCCGTCCGTATTCGGATCTGGTGCGGGTGGATAGGATAGGATTTGTGGGAAAGCGGGAAACGTATCAGAGCGGATGCCCATCCTATTCCTATCGTTCTCCAATATACTCAATCCCGCAACAGACGCGTTGAGGCGCGGTCACATAAGATACGCGCCGAAAGCGTCGCATGATCATGCATCTCTTTTGACGGCGCCTTATCTTTTGTTTGCTTCTGAAATGTCCTACCGCCTCTTACTGCCTTCTACTATCTCCCTGTGCTTCTAGGTGGGATCAATTATTATCCCTGAGATATTCTTAAAGAGTCAAATATCCTCGGCAAATGATTATGAAGCTGTCCTCAATAAGATCGTGCTAGACTCGATGATCTGCACCGCGTCTTTGCTGCTACTAGCTATAAGGTTAAAGTACAACTGCACGGTATTTCGGTGACCACTGCAGCACGTTGCGATCCATCAGGTTTTCGTACTCCCGATTCGTATACCCGCCCTCGTCCTCGTCCTCGCCCTCGTCCTCGCTCACGCCCTCTCGGCCCTCCTTTGCCCTGCGGATCCTCCTCACAGCCAGCAGTAGCTCCTGGCTCAGAGAGAGCCGTATACACGCATGTACTGCGTCGTACGCTGCGACAATACGCGCCTTGACGTTTGCCCGCTGGCTCCAGTTAACGTCGTCGAAGGATCGAGCTTCCACCAACGACAAGTCTAAGAATAGCAACTCCGGTAGGCCCGATTTGTCGGACATCTTGTTCAATAGCGGGACCAAAGCGCCGACAAGCCCATGCGTGTATGACTAAAACTCCAGCGAGAGTTCAAAGGTTGGATCGGGGTTCGCGCTCGACAGGCTCTCGGTAGACTTTGTGCTTGATTTTCGCCAACCCTCCACATTGAATTGGAACCTGGAAGGATCACTTTCCCTGTACACGCATACGCGAAAGGAGTTGCAGGATCCATGCATACAATCTACCGTAGTCAATATCAGATCTGGATAATCGCGGACCTGTGCGCAGCTAACTCACCGAAGGCGTTGATGAAAGGTGTGAATACATCTTCCTGGTTCTTGTTAACCAGTAGCGCAAGCGATTGGTGTGACGATCGTTTCGTGCAGAAAGGTGAGCTTTAAGTCGAGTATCGTATGCATATGAGATTTGATAGAGCGCATCAAATACATAGGCGTGATGCGCTCGCTTCTGGTGCGCCAAGGGTAATCGGATTGCATGCAGAGTGACTTGATTCGTGGCGCATCAAACCTCTTGGGTGGCATAATGTTGCGAAAGACGGCTTCCTCGACACCATCCCAACGAATGGTGCAGATTTTTTTCGGGCATGCGCTATAGGTGGAGCACCTCCAGAATAGATCAGCCAGTGTTTGTAACTAGAAATTTGAAAGAGTCACATTGAATACTCCCTTAGGTTTCTCGAGTCCTCCAGATTCAGGTATCTCACCCGTGCAACGGCATCAGGGCGTGATATTAGCTCGCCCCAAAGATCCGTGCGTAGAGAGATATCGGAGCAAAGAATGTTTTCGTCGTCTCTCATCGGAGTGGTGCATGATAGTTCGAAGCGAAGCGGATAATTCTTGCTCCATTCGAGGAACTTGGTGAATAACTTCGGTTGAGCGGTTATGTTGTCCGCGAAGAGACGCGGTTGTGCAAGCAAGCTTCCCCGCAAGTAGGGTATACGGAGATCCTCCATCCAGCCGCTCTCCATTGCGCGATTCAGGTCGGCGGTCGCTACGGGAAGGTCAAGCACGACCCAGAACGCCATGATGATTCTCATAAGTTCCGGAGGAAGAGGAATCCCAGCTCTGTCAAACCTCAGACTAGCACACTGAGCAGATGAAGCGAGAGGCATGATTGACCGCAGAGTGGTAGTGGAAGCACTGCGTGCCAAAGGGTATGGTAGACAAGAGAAAGTTACGGTCGCGAGAGCGCAAGGCGGGTGTGATCAACCGCAGATCATTTGATGCCGGAACTTTGAACCTCACGTGACAAGAATTTCGACACCCTACCCCACTTTCATACTCAATTAGCCCAGCCGTCAACGCTTATAGCACTGGAGAATATGCCAGCATCGATTAGTAGTGCTCAGCGCGTTCTGATATCGTTGTCCTGTCAAGTCCGATTGTATCAATCTGGATTAGCAACCATAGCCCAAGCCTCGAATGCCGAATCCGACTCAATCGATCGCCACGCCACAAGGCTCGCACATATGCATCAACAAATAAGATTGTGTTCAAGGTCCGTATTTGCGTATCTACAACTTTGCAGCGACACGACGTTCCTCTGAATCCCCCGCGTCACCTATCGCGCAGGCTTCCCGCCAATCCCATGCCTCGCACATACCCTCCATGGTATCGTGCATCGTGTCCAGGCCCATCTCACGCAAGCTTGAGATCCCACCGTTCGCCCTCCACCAGCAGCGCTTCGGGTCCTCGCCGTTCACAGCGCTGGTTCCCATCGTTCGACTAGGAACATGCTTAGTAGACGTCTCTTTTCCCCACAATCATAGTACGTCACACCTTAGTGGCATGCAGGCAGAACGGAGGATGGAAATGTCGTGGAGCTCATCATAGACCGCGAAGTCTAGAATGTCGAAAGGTTTCTCATCCTTGGGCTCTAGTGGCGCGGTGTTCATGGCATCTGGGGCGACTTCACCGTCCTCGGCGGCTTTGTCAGACGAGCCACTGCACAAGCGAACGTTGAAGCGCCACTGTTCGAGAAGGTATGCACGATGCTCGTCCGTACTAGACTCGGAAGTCGCTTGACGCAGATGTGTCTCTGGACCGGAATTGGTGCACTGTCGATATTGGTCTGCAGGTCTGGGTCGGTAAGGCATGTATAGATACTGTATAGATGTAAACTCACCCATGTCGCCATCCTTCCTGCCGTCAATCTCAGCGCAGCAATGGGACTCGTCGTCTGGAGTACGCGTCAGCATCCACGTCAACAAAGAGACGTTGTAGGCGAGTCTCGCACCAAATTCTGACACTGTTTCTAGACTTGGCAAAGAATTGCCACCTTCCGATACATTGTCACATTGATGCTTGCATTGAGGATCGTATCGTGCCATGATATGGTGCCGACGAGGAGTTGTGCAAGTCGGGTACAAGCAATGCCTGCGAATTTGGCCGAACCTTGCGGCAAGTCCCGTGATGCATTCGGGCCGGTGATCAACTACGGAACCATAGCAACCAAAACCTGTAGCACGGTGGTCGTGATGTATAGTGGGATGTGTGGTTGTCGTGGTCAAGAGGCAAGTCGCGTCGTGCGCTTCGCGCCACATCTTGACTATAGCCATGTTGGCGCCTCACTTGCCCTCTTACCTCTCCTTCCCAGTTCTTGCACAACTCCCGAGCCTCAAGTGCACTCTCAACTGTGACACCGACTGCCTATTGTACGAATACCCCGTGACGTATAGCCGCATTGTCCTCGCGAAACTAAACGTGAGCATGGACGCGCCATCCGCTCGCGAACGTTACAACGCGAAGCGTTGAGGTTCTCTAAGAGCGCGCTTCACGGCCCATGCGAGCATCTCAGGCTTCTCTCGCATCTGAGGGCCGCATTTCGCGGACCGGGACGTCTACCATCACTGTCATCGACGAATCTGGGAACATGCACCCTCGCTCACGCCGGCGCTATGTAATTCATCTGGAAGTTGAGGCCATGCTGAAGATGCCGTACTTGTGTCTGGCGCATTATAGATCAAGAAGAAGCATTGCAAGCCAGTCTAGACTGCCCCCGGGGTGGTGGGTGGTAGAGGAGTTCGAAGAGAAGAGTCCGAGGAGAGGAGAGGGGCACAGCAGACCGAAGCACCGCACCGGCCACTCATGTTCCGTTGACGAACGAGCTAGCACCGAGCGATAGGCGCATTGCAACAGATCACTTGTCGTACGGGCGCAAGACCGGTGTTACGACGAGAAAAACGACACTTGGCGTCGTGTACCTGCTTGTGGCGAAGTGATTATGTGTCGCCGTTTCTTCGCCTCCTCACACAATGTCTCTTAGAACAGTAAACTGGGGGGAAGGCATAACGAAGAGACCGTAGAAGAGAAATGTCGTCCCCTCTTTGAGCCATTTCAGGTAAGTCAGCTGCGATCATCTCGGCGTGCAAGTGCTCACTCCTGCGTCGGCTTGTCCAGGAAAGCCAAGTCGAGAATACGTCAAAACGTCGTCGTCAAGAGCCGGACCTCGAGCAAGTTGACGCCTGGCTGCCTCAATTCATTGAAACATACTCTCGGAAGAAGGCTCGTGAAGACTACGAATTCAAGTACGGCGAAACACAGGATGATTCCGACGAAGAGGGCGCGGGGTTGGCAGCTGGAGTGGTACCTGCAGACTTCAACATGCATACGTTGGAGACCCAAGCGACCGCCGGCTCTGTACCCGAGCAGCCGCCCACCCTTAACCTCAACCGCGAGGACGAGGCAAAGGTGCCGCGCGCGTCGAAGCCTGATTTCAAAGCTCGCGTCCTGCTCGCGCTAGCCGAGGTTTGCGTAGCAGATGGGCGCGACATTCCCGTCAATCTCGTGCGTGCTGCCTTGGGGTGCGCTTGAAGGTGTTCGTACATAGTGTCCAATTGAAATACAATATGTGATGTCTGCTTTTGATACCTAGCAAGTGCAAGATTGCCCCCGCATGAACTAGGCGTGCTGCATGTTGAGTCGTAGCACGACGTCTACAAGGTAAATGAACGGTTGAATCGGTCTGAGAATGTACACGCATCATGACGACCTGCTATTCTGAATGTCTATGTTACAATAGTGGCCATGCCTATCGAAGCCGGGCAGGTAGAAGTGAATATTGTGCGGGCGGTGCGCGCCACAGGTCGATTCGGCAGTTGCCGGAGACGCGTCTTCGAGTTGAACTCGCGCGCGGCAAAGGTCAATCACTTGAATCGTTACCACCACCAACTCTGCGCGCTGAATGCAGCTTCTGCTTCCTCGCCATAAAGTCGCTCAAGGTGCACTTCGAAGACGATCTAAACGTCTTCGGCAAAGTCTACGTCGCTCGGCTGTGACTCGCTGGGCCAATGCTCTTCAACCCGTCCAGTCACGCCACAGGGCATGTTCTGCCTTGTTCGCATCCTTGGTCCTCAGCGGGCAACTCCTGTACTTAGCCCTTGAACTACTTGCTCTTTCTGTCTGCCTACATAACCTGACCGTACCTGCGAACCTCGACTCTGGTTCGCTATGGGCGCCCGATACACACTCTCGACCTTCTGTCGTTTCCCTATTCGGCCTAACCTATGGTTGTTTACTCGTCGGCATTGCCTTGTATATATACTCAGGTAAGCATACAACTAGATGTAACTGATACTGTGTCTGACTTCATCTCGATAGCACTTTTCGATCACGTCTCGAGGCGCCTAATGGCAGCTCGGACTGCCCTGGATCTCTCACACAAGTGTTCAACTCACGATGGATGTATGCCGCGAATCAACGTCTTCGTGCGTGGCCTTTCAGTGAAGGGGGTCTGTCTCAGTGAGTAACTCCATGCCTCGCATGTTTTGGTATATTCAACGATAGTTATAGACATGCCACATGATGCTCGGGTCATCTGCGCGCTTCAAGCTGTGCGAAAAGCGCGCTGCATAGCCGATTTGCAGCACATCCGCCTAGTGGTTCCGCTCTCCGGTGCCGATGGTAGACTGCAGCATCTGCCATCTCATGACGCTCGTCGAGTTCCTCGCTAACAAGCACAACCTACACGCCAGCAAGCACAAGCTCATCACGGACTTTGCAAAGGTCTGTGCCCGTTGTCTTCGCCGTCTTCGTCTTCATTGATGACTGTAGACGTTCGAGGAGGGAGTCGACATTGGTGTGCATCTTCGCATCTATGCTGCCCAGCTCGAGGCCATTCAAGGGGCTGAGGGCGGTCGGTCTGTCGGCAAACAAATCTTGAAACTCGTTGGCCTCTTCACCCTCACTGGTAAGCGCACATCCATGACCTTAGAATCCTGGAATGTCTGATGCGATCAAGCTTTCAGCAATGCGGGAGGTGGCGACGAGCGCGTGTTGTGGACGGCTGTCGCGCATATGCAGCGCACGGAGCCGAGTATCGCGAACGTGGCGTATAGCGGCGACGTTGACGCGATTAAGAAGGAGGTCCGAATCGCTAGAGTGAATGTAAGTATCCGTGTCCAACTCAATCTTTCAGTGCGTCCGTACTCATGACATCTGAAGGCGCACCTAGACATTATCCTTGACCCCGACACCCTTCCTTTCGTATTTTTGAGGTCGTGCCGCTACATGGAGGACGCCTCACGGCCCCGCTTCACGCTTCTTGCCCAAAGTCTTAGCTCCATGCACTTCGACTGGGGGGCATTGAGTTATGTTATTCCGGATCTATTCATTGACACAATGGAATACGCCTTCGTCTTTCACGTTGCGGCAGGCCTGGCTGGCGTTCCCGTAGGAGCCTACGTGCGCTATCCGACAACCAGCATGGATATGCTCGCTCGCGTCCAGGGCCGCCAGGAAAGCGTCACCAACTCTGACGCCATCGCTAGTTCAGCGCCGTCAAACTCTTGTACGTCTATTTCGCTTTGGTCTCAACGCGCCGCGCTCAAGTATGAATCACAGCTACTACCGCGTGTCCATGTGGCTATACTCGCGGGCGCTCCGTCGCGCCTCGTTTTTCATGGCCAACTCTACTCGGATAAAGAACCATATCGACAACATCCTGAAGCTTGACGGCGTCGCTATCTCGCGGAAACTGTTACCGAGCCCTTTGCGTACACCGCGAATTTCTGGTTGCCTAAGATGAGCGAGCATATGCCTACCACGCCCCAGGATGCCACACGGGTCTACCCGCTGTGCGATACTCGGACTATATGTGGCTTCACGCTCGAGAACCGCGAACGATTGCAGTCTCTCCCAGTTCAGGTAAGACGATTCTATCATGCCTGATACTGACGTTGGCTGATTGCCGTGCCCTAGGCCGGAGAGAAGGACCACGCGACGCAGATCCGCGCCATTGTCGCTTTACTGCGAGAGCACCCGGAGTACAAAGACGTACGCTTTGTTCTGATTGGCGGCGTTCGCGATGATGGGGATGCGGCACGAGTTGAAGTCCTCAAGGCGCCCGCGAAGGAGCTGGACGTTTCTGTACGTGGTCGTATGTCCGGACTTGATCCACGTTCTTACCGCAAAGTACTAGGAGCACGTCGAGTTCTTCGTCAACGCGAGCTATCCAGACATGTTTACCTATCTCAGGCGCGCCTGTGTAGGTTTGAGCACTATGGTCCTCTACCCTTCTCCCCACTATATCAGCTCCATAGTCTTTATCGCCTTAATGAGGGGATTCCGATGGTTTGCAGCATGTGCTGTACATAGAATGTTGATAAAAGGTCGGAAATGCGTAGATATATCATGTACAGGCTGCACTGCCGGTACAATAGCATGTATGCCGGCTCCGAGTGTCTGAGACGTAGGCGAGAGTTACCAAGCGCGGGATACAATACAATGCGCGTCTCTCCGAGCGGGTCCAAGCACGGGGCGAGGTCATTCATGGATGCTACCTTCTGAAGGCCCTCGTCGCCTGGAAGCGCGCTCTCGGCAGCATGGCCAGAGTTGTTGTGCTGTCGGTGAGCCTGTGGCTGCTACGACTTCGGGTTAGAGGTGTCTGAACCGAATTACTGGAAGAAACACGCACATACCAGGTTACCGCCGCCGTATGACAGCGTATGACACGCCGAAGTTGATGGCATTGGATTTCCCACGGTTGGCCGTGTCCTTGTTCTTCTTGGGGAATGCCCCCGAACGCTCTTGAGGTAGCTTGTGAAGTTTGCGCGATAGGCGTTTGAAGAGCCCGTCCCAGAAGCGCGCAGCGTTTTCGTCATGTGAACGTCCGACGAGCACGGTGGTGATGCGGTCCTGGTCGTCAGTGACAATGTGGGTTGAACTACACCCCCAAGCCTGCTGGGCACCTCGATGGTATCAACTCCGTGTTAGCATACAAGAGTCGGGCGAGACACCCGGCAAGTATTTGAACGTGTATCGCATGATACTCAGTTGCCTGGGGCTATCTGGATGAGGCAAATATCCCAAGACACCTGTAAAGTAACTCAGGGATACTCTTTGTGCTATTATACTTGTACCGCGATGAAAAGATATCTTCATGACAGTCAAGAGCCATGCGATACTGCGCCGTAACCTTGGTCCACGGCCGTGGCATCCCGGAGTAGCCAACTCCGTCAGAGTTTGGTCGGTGCTCGACGTTAGGAGAGCTTGGAGAGGGTCTTCCGGCGGATTTGACCTCCGGCTATGCCAATTACCGTGCCGACACGCCTCTCAAACGCGCGCGACACGTCGACTTCGCTCAAACTTCCCTTTGCCTTCGACCACGATCTGCCTCTGAAGTTCCGCTTGCACACAAGCAAGAGTCCTCTGCCGTTCCGCGCCGATGCCGATATCGTAGGTGAGAGGCCGTTTAATCATTCGGGTCGCAGAATATCTCAACTTACGTGTTATTAGCGGACCCTCTTGGACGCAGTCGACGAGGGTTTTGAACACCTAGGTCGTGTAGCAACTCGACACCTCGACACCATCCTGTCGTCGCTATTTCCGAGCACACGTACGTGTGCTATCCAACTGCCCTGAATCTCGAACTCATACCGTCGTAGGGCGTTTGAGGGCTTCACGGCACCGTGTACGGCGTCAGTGGCTAGGGTGGAGAGGATGTGCATGACGAGGTGGTGTACTTCTATATGGAGTACGTGTCTGCGTGAAGGTGGCTCGCCCCTGTTCCCTGCTCCGTATACTGGTCTCGTACTCCCATAGCTGTATCC